TGTTTTTGTTTTTGTCCACTAGTCTGCAAATTGCAATCATTTTTGGCTATTCACTCGGCGACGAGCTGTTATAGACCGACACGTAGGTATGGTTAGGAATTTCCCAGGTCCCTCTACCCACCGGCCAAGATGCATCACCAGACTGCATGTGTAACCTGTTTTCTCCAAAATAAGACACGATGTGTAATGTGTATCCTGGACATGCAATGGCGAGTATTTCCGAGAATGTTGACTAAGTAGAAGGGTGCATTTGTGCTTTTTCATCACCTTGCCTTAGATCGTGACTGAAGAAGTTGCACATACATGTGTCCTATCGTTTGAATGAAAGTCGAAACTACATTTAGTTTTCAGATAGATAGCCGAGCTGAAAAATAAATTCACGTAATGGAAATGAACGCATCACGCGTTACTCGACGTCAGTTTATAAACCGGTTTATTGTATCATTGCTTATATTGATAATGTTGACTGATATTCTCTTCAGAATGTTGTTAGCTTCCTGTTCATGTTTTTTAATGTACCTAATTACTTTATTGGCCTATATCTTATAGGTATCTCTGTTATTAAGCGTCAGATTTGATCTTTGCAGCTTTCCACATGTTAAGTTGAAATTCCCCATAGAGCTTCGAGCATCAATCAGTCAAACCTTGGAATGTCTTTTAAAATCGGACAATATCAGCCAGCTCTGAAAAATTGCGCGATGTCATTCGGTTTCCCCATTCTAGTGTGACAGTCCGGACCTTGACACAAAGATGTGAGTCGTCCCCAGTAATTCACGGATCAAGTGAAACCGATTCATCAAATGTCCTGTCAGTGGCATCCCATCGCGATAACGTCTTCGATCGTATCTTTCTCGCGAAAGAGAGCGACAGTCATACTCCATGCTGCTGTCGAATACAGTTTCGAGGACATGGTTCCATTGCTTCTCGAACTTCCTCGATCGCTAGCTTGTATACGACTGTTCCATTTCGAGTTTTATCAACCGAAGCCTAGACAATATGACAAGGTTCTCACGGTCAGCTAGCAAACTGGATCCTTGACGTGAGTACTCGACAGTTCGAAGCTGACGATTTATGAGAACAGTGATAGGCTGTACCCAAGTCCGCCACATTGATTTCAAATACACATACACAAGAGAAGATATCACATGTATTTTGCACTTGGCGGGTTTCACCCGTTCTTCCGGCATTCCTATTTCCGATCTATGTTTCAAACCGAGTCAATGCCGTCTTCCCCTTGTACCGATGAACACCTCAGACGGAGTCCTTTACGTCCTCTCCGTGCTCCGGCGACCTCCCGACACGATTCGTCCCCTTGTGGTCCCTCCAGACGACCATTAGCGTCTGGCTGAGCAGCATCACTGCCGCCACCATCCCGTCACCGCGGCCAGCGCGGCTATCCAGTGCGCCACCCGACGCCGGACCCATGAGCGTCAGAAGGCGAACGCCGTAGCAAACACGCTGGGGACGAGCGTCTGCCAGGCTCTGCCGCCACGCCGCCCCCGTCACGAGTTTCAGACAGGGTGTTAAAGCTCCACCGAGTGGCGAGTACAGCCTTGTGGAGTGTCATGGCGCCGCACAGCAGCCATCAAGAGGGCTGCAGACCCAGCGCCGACAACCGACAGCGGCCGGTTTCATAAAGCTTGGTGGTATTTTACCGTTGGGCGTGCGTCATTCGCCCTTTACACCCTTTTATGAAATCGACAGCAGGGCTGCATCAGCAGATGCACCGTTGCGGCCAATAGCAGACAAACGCTCATCACAAAGTACAGATTGCCACACGGCTCAAAAAGACGTTCCCACACGAAATCCGTGGTGATTACGGAGCGAGCGAAGCGAGCGTAGTCTTTCCTTAGATTAACGGAAATTTCTGAGTATGAGCGGCCGGCCGGCCGGCCGGCCGTGGTCACGCTTTTGCGAGGCTTATATCTCAGCAACCACTTGACCGATTTACACGCGGTAATTTTTGTAGGGTAGCTTCATTCCTTCCACCAAGTATTGGACTATTCCTGATGCATGTGGGTGACCCCTTATGCACGTGCCACGTGCAAAACGAAGAGGTGTCCGTTTTGTAATTGTTGCAATATCTCGGTAACTACTTGGCCGATTGCGCTGAAAGTTGGCATGTAGGTAGGCACCCACTAGGCACTGCATATCCATGTGCCAGAGTTGGGGTGCTGCTGCACGTGCGCACGTGCAGGGGTCGTTTCCAGATCTCGAGAACGGCTGGACCGATGGCGCTCAAATTTGGTACACGGTTAGGGACCAGTTAGTAGGGTGCCGTGCACAAGTCAGTTGGGACCCATTTTGCACGTGCGCACGTGCAGGGTGCCGCTCCCAGATCTCGAGAACGGCTGGGCCGATTGTGCTCAAATTTGGCACATCTCTAGAGACCGGTCAGTAGGGTGCCGTGCACAAGTCAGTTGGAGGTACCCCCTCGAAATTTCGCACGTGCAAGGCCCACCCTTTCGCTCGCTCCGTTAGTCGCCCCAAAAGGCGTTATACTGGTGTAGGTGCTGGAGGCTATAAACAAGAAGAGAATCGGAGTTCTGTCGCCATAGCGCTGACTGTCGGGAACGCGTACGGAACGTGTAGAAACCTTAAAGTAAATGATTATTTGTACGTACATCTCACGGAGCTGTGCGAGCAATCGCCTGTTTGAAGGTACTTACATAACTCTGACAGGAATTGTTTCAACTCATTATCGGTCCCAAGCGACCGTTTATAGAACTGGGAAAACGGTGTACAAAGAAGGGAATGGGTGCGTCCAGCTTATAAACGAGACGGATTACATATAACTATTCCACAGTTTACACAGCATGCGTCAGTTTCGTGTTACACTTGTTGTAGTTCTTACGACACTCCAGGATCCACGAGTGAGTCATGGCACGGCTGTGTACTGCTTAGTTACGGAATATCCATAGTCGTCATCATTTAGTTCAGTCAACATGCTCCAGATGTTTGTTACTGCTATTGTTTTTAGGTTTCTTTCTGTCTGAGCCTTTTTTGCTATCATCGGATTTCCCTACTCCTCAGGCCCGTCGGAATATATTGTAGCCATGTGAACCATTCCATTTTCTATTCCATTCCAGAATGTTTATTGCGCATCGACAACCTAGTAAAACGATCGGAAAATGAACATGAATAACAGAGATAAAGCAAAATAATATACCTAAGAGTGATGCAAAAGCACATTAAGCTTGACTCTAGGCACCACCTCTTGTAACATAATCAGATAGACATCATAAACATAAAACAACATGAACATAGCCTTCAGATCAACGTCGAATATAACATAAACATACAACGTAATGAAGGTAACGTAGCGTAATGAAACAAAACTACCACTGCCGCCGCCACGACAGGCCACCGACCCAACCCGCGCTGACGTCACTCAGCCCACCGGGGACGCCGCCCACAAAACTGAATGAGGTAGGTAAATTAATAGGTAAATCTGTGCGAGCGAAGCAAGAAATTTTGGAAATGCTGAGCCACCGCACGACAGTCCCCGCCGCCAAGATCGTCGCCATGCAAAAGAACACGTAATAACCGTGAAGTTGACATTTGCCCAAAATTTTCGCCAAAAATTTGCAACATGTCCCGGTAAAGTTCCTCTTTCTGCAAATTGTAGTTGGAACACGCGAGAATGAAATGATGAATATTTTCTGTTTCAAAGCCACAAGCACATTCAGGTGTATCGTGCCTTTGTATTTGAAATAAATGTGAATTTAGTTGTGACATTTGCATTCGTAGCCTAGAATGGAAAATATTGCCCATTTTAGTGTCAATTTTGTAAAAGGGAGAAGGCCCAGGCACCCCCACTCCCCAGTCGCCTCGAGATCTCTCGTTGAAAGGAACGAGGAGGAAGGGATGAAATGATGAACCATCTGAACCATCTGGGTTTAATATATTGTTTTGAAACGAATATCTTCTAGCTTTGACAAGCCATTAATCTTTTTGCTTTATAAAGTATTGCAAATTAATGAACAACTTCTTATGACCGGTTCTTTTCCGTCATGGATAGACTCAGTTCAGCGATATCAGTAGGTATACTACCAAACTTGTACTTCTAAACTAAATTTGTGGTTGGCAAGTGTGCGCCTAATTTCTCTTCCGTACATTATTGCATTGTCTGACGTCCATCAATCGTCCACCAGTTCACTGTCGCTGTTCGCTGGCTCAATGCTGTGAGGGACTATCGTTCATTTGTTCGTATGTTCGCCCATCCGCCAGTCTTTCCATATTGGTCGGTCTATACGCCCATTTGTTCGCCTTCCCAGCTGACTGCCTGTCCGTCTGTCCGATCAGTCTGCCTTTCTGCCCAACTGTCTTCCTGTCTGTCTGTCCGTCTGTCCGTCTGTCCGTCCGTCCGTCTGCCCGGCAGGCCGTCAGTCCGTCTGTCCGTCTGTCCGTCTGTCCGTCTGTCCGTCTGTCCGTCTGTCCGTCTGTCCGTCTGCCGTCGTTCCCGCAGTCGACTCAGTGTGAAACGGTACTAAGCCAAACCACAAGCCGACTGGCTGCAGCCTGTTAGTGCAGTTCGGTAATATCATGCAACGATCGTGACGTCATACGAAGCAGTGACGTCATATCTGGTGAATGTCGCTGCCGCTTAACTGACCATGAAATCAGTGGGTGAACTGCAAATGCACTTACGTATGATTATTTGATCTAGCGGTGCATTAGCATACGGTTGCGTGCATGTTTCTCCAGACTGCCGTCAACCACATCGCCCAGAATCGCATTTGGTGTGTGTGAATGGGTGTCCTTGGACAGCCGGTTCCGTTGCGTGCTGTTGAATCATGAAACGGACTTCCTACAATGCAGGCCAGTGAGCGGTAAGTCTATCTATGTAGAGGTTCTTACAATTACAAGAAACAAATTTAGATGTTTATAAATAGACTCCGAATGCACTTCTTACCTATCTAATTCGCCTTATACACAATAGCTAAGAACCTGGCCGATATTTTAGTGGTTGTCGTGAGCACGAGCGTGAGGCGAACAAGTAGGTGTTCTTTGGATTTATTTACAAACAAGGATTCAACACTGGTCTCTTATGTCACCAACAACGGCTAAGTTTATATAGCAAAATATCTCGGCAAGACAGATCATTAGCAGCGTCCGTCTCGTTTTCGTTTTGCTAATTTGAAATTTTACGCATGCCAAACATCGGCGTTTTGACATGGTAATTTATAAATTAAATGCAAAGAACAATAACAATGTACCAGGAAACATACCAGGATCCATCTTTTTGGTCCTTAACCCCTGCCATGGCCTGCTAAAAAGAACCTACAATCACATTGTTAAGCGATGCTGTTTCATGCCGCCAGGCCCCAACCTTTGACCGTGATGAATTTACCTCATTCTTTGGCAACTCAATTAAAATACAGGCAATAAGCAATTAAAATACACGCATTATAGTACGTAACGTTTTTCAGGACGGTTATCATTGCAGAGTGATTGCACTATAGTTTTAATCGATGTAGCTGTTTAAAATCAAAATTATAAGCTCATGACCAATGAATATCCTCTTAGCACTCCAAGCCATCCTTCATCAATACTACCCAAAAGCATTGGCAATCTCCTATTTTTTTCGCTCTCCTCCCTGACAATTGTATTTCCAGTAAATGCAAGGAAGTCAGGCAAACGATGCAACCGAGAGCGATAGGTACTGCTGCTTTTCGCAAAAGCACCGATAAACCATCGCTGTCGTAGTACATTTTCTAAGCATAACAGGAGCCTTCAATATAACGGTATGCTGGTCAAAATGACTTGAAAATATTTGTATCTGACTGCCTGTTGTGTTTCACCATACGCTTGGGGCATGGTCATTGTTCCGATCACATGCTGCACGACTTTTTGAATAGGAATTAGGATATTTGCCGATGCAAGCTATCAAATTTGTGCTGATACAAGTTTTAAATGCATACCATCAACGAATATGTAGAAAAATAAATTATAGCTTATTATCTTCACGAAACACTGATCTATCGCTAACTAAATGTGTCACAGATAAGTATCGATGGTTTCCACGGAGGCTGAGCTGGACAGTTCGTTCACTGGATCCAGGTGGCGCCGCAGTCGCCCAGATACTGTGCAGATGGCGCTGGCTGAATGTCGCCGTAGCTTAGATCGGTCGCCACAGCCGACAATCTGCCGAAATGCTGCGGCGAATTCTGCGTTTTTCCAGCCATAAACCACCGGGTTGATGGCTGATTTGGCGAAGTATAATGACACGAACATCTGTGAAACGGTAACACTTGTATCAAAGGTTTGACGCTCGTGGAATGGCTCGGGGACGAGACGGTCAGCGGACACAGGACGCTGCAGATTGTGCTCGGTGCTCGCTCCCCATCCAAGAGGGCACCACAGGGCTCATTTACAGTGGGGAAGACACTAGGCAATACAAAGTTTTGTCGACGACAAAGCAGCTTACGAAATTCAAGCCAGATTGAAAAATAACAATTGAAACTTGGAAGTGTAAAAAAAAATGAATCGTTTACCCAGCACCAGAGTCAGAATAGACGATAATGGCTCCATTCTTTTTGCATTAGTCTGAACCATGTAATTAAAATTCATCCTCTCCACCCTCAGGATCCCCCATACAAGGGGACGGGCCTAGACGCTGCGCTAGTCCGGGTCACTGGCCGCCTCAGCCACGGTCCTGCATGGTGTGATCGTTAACCGTTTTCACGACGGGCTATCCGGCGAATGCACCTGATTTGACCAAATCTGCACCTAATTTCTTGTACAGCAAATATCTTCATTTTATGAATTTATTTCAGTGTTTTAATCGATGATGCTCTCTGATAATATGACAAAGCAGGCATATAAGCAATTAGTGCAACCCTAGCTGATAGCTGCTAGGAGACACACTGAACCTGATTTGACCAAATCTGCACCTAATCTGCACCAGATGTGCACCAAATGTGTACCAGATGGCCGTCTTAAAAACGGCTTTATTATTTATAGATCGAATGGGCTCGAGTTTATATAACAAGTAGTAAAACGTCTATTACCTTTAAAAGGTCCAAGAGAGATAAGTACCTTATTATTTTCTTGGTAAATTAGCAGTTTGGCACCATCTCACGGTGTAACGTCTCATTTTGCTCTCATGTCCAGCACCTCTAATGGCGTTTACCACAACTCAATTACCTGGTTTACCTTCTTCAGTTCGGAGAGGACGTTCTCATGTATGTATATGTTCTCAATGTACGCATATCTGAGGCACACTCCCAAGGCGTACGGGAGCATGGCCACCGTATTACAGCCCAGTATCAGCACCTGAAACAGAATCGAAGGACCGTCGGCACACAAATGTCCATCCAGTGAACTTATTAGGATGCGTCACACCCGTTCCATGCTTCTATCCTCAGGATGAAGAAATCCTTCTCCTCCACGCCGCAACCCCTCTCCGGGCTGGACAGGCAACTTTATCTCATGCGGGCTGCTCCCTTGGAGCGGCACCGCTGCTCCCGAGGGAGCGCACCCCGTAGCCGGGTGCAGTGAGTGCCTTGGGGCTGGGTGGCCTGTCCTCTGGACGGGCTCAGCCCCGGCGACTCACTAGGGTGCCTGCCCAGACCAATGTCTCCCCCTATATCCTATCATCCTTCCGGCTCTGCAATGGTCTTGTCAGACCGAAAGGGCCTATCCCAACAAAACAAAAACAAAACAAAATTAGGATGCGTGATTTTTCTAGGACGAATTAACTCCTCCAGCTCTTTTTTCTGATATTTTGTGGCCTTAACTTCAATTATAAAAACATTATTTGATGCGCAAGAAACATATATTCATAAATACGCAACCCATCTCGACAAAAAAAAAAACTGATTATTTCTGAAAATTTAAAAGGCTGCAATAAAGATATAATAATAGGGCAGCTATAAAAACGTCTAAAATAGCAAGTATTAATTTCTGCATATTGCATAATTGAACAGTAAGTAAGCGTTTACGTGAGGCCACTTTCTACCTCATGGCATGGCGCTAACTTTAACCCGGCACCGCCTGGGCTATTTCCGTAGTCCAGTGTTCGCCACGGGCCGGGCCAGCCCAACGGGCCACGGGCCGGGCTGGGCTACGGGCTGGGCCGGGCCCCCAAATATCATTAGTTAACGGGCTATGGATGGGCCGGGCCAAGAACTTTGTGCACTATGGGTTTTGCGACTAATGTCAATTTAAGAAAATTTGGAAACTGATGCAAACAAAACCCACTGGGAAAATACAAAAACTAAACCAAATTTAAGCAATGTGAAAGAAAACCTACTTGATATTGAATTTTGGGAATCTTGAGAATTATCCAATATCACATCATGTCACACATAGGAGGGTTTTCATAAAAATTCCGCAACCAAAAAGATCAGAGAATCTCTAGCATCATTAGTTTGTTAATAAAAGTTAAAATGTAGTCATCAGAACAACTTACTTAGCACTACAACTCCAAAAACTAAGAAGCCACTCAACAATGATGGGCTACAGGGCTACATTAAGTTAACACTTATATATGGCGATAGTGAGACAATTCCAACACAGTCTTTTTTCCTTCACCGACGGCTTTTTAACGAACAGAACCTTAAAAGGATACTCACAAAACACACTGTAAGTAACGAGGAACTCTACAGAGTATTTCGCGATGAAAGCTTCTTTAAATGTCCATAAATTTGTCAAAATAAATCACAACAAACCAGCCCCTTCTCAACAAAATGTGCAATCATGGCGGCGGCGCTATGTTTATGTGGCGGCATCTAGGTAGTATACACAACAGTATATCAAATAAATACGTTTTTTAAGTGAGTATCAAGGTGAAAACAAAATTAAACCAATGAAAAATAAAACCAAAATCACGAAGTCTGAAAACTCGAACGAAAAACAAAACAAAAACTTGATCATATATGTTTTATTATACAATTCGTCAGAATCGCTACCTGCCGCAGCTGCGACAATCAAGAAGTGTTCGCTCATTTTCGATTGATGATGATGATGCGTACAAGTCGCAAAAGTACCCAATGACATTTCAAGCTTACCATGTTTTCTGCTTACGCTGCTAGCGATATCCATATCTTGAAAAGAGCCTAACATAAAATAGCAAGGAAAGTAGCAGATAGTTGTCCACAGAGATTCGGTTGACACGTGGGCATGAATTGAAAATAGATTAAATCAGTTTTGCTGATAAATGGATGGATTTTCTCTTTTTTTGGAAGACAGTGCTAAAGTTAGTGTCACCTATTTTGTATGCTTTCTCAGGCTTTTGATATTGCAGCATCTATGGAGTGAATTTAACAGCAAGGTCAATCCCAGACAGATTCATCAATTCCCATAAGTCAAGCTTTTTTTCTGCTGGTAAGTGCTGGGAAGTATAGAGTATGTTGCAAATACTTCCTTCAAGTATGCATTAGAGTCACCAATTATTAATGATAATGTTCACACACATCAGCTTGCAAGATAACTTTACTCATAGAATGTAGTTAATATAATCATGTAAACTTTTTATAGGTGTGTAATCATGACCTAATTGACTGAGGTGCTTGCTGTTACTGTTAAAATTTGTGCCATAGGTGCTTGAAATGATTATATTCATTGAAAAGAAGGGAGTCATGATTGCCATGTTAATATTCATGCAATTTGAATTGTTCTCAAAATAGTGTAATCAATCATGCTTATTATAGCCATAGACTAAGACAATAACTAGATTGCTATTTTTGACGGGCCGGGCCGGGCTGGGCTTGGAATATTTGCCAAGAGCGGGCTACGGGCTGGGCCGGGCTCTGAACCCATGGGCCCGGGCCGGGCTGGGCTGGGGATTTTGGGGCCCGTGGCGAACACTGTTCCGTACCCACGACAGCCTGGGGGGGGGGGGTCGGATCCGACCCCCCCCCCCCTGTTATCTCGAGAACCAATGGTCGTATCGAGCCCCGCGAGGCGGCGTTCGAAAGGTCTCTACGAGACCTTCCCAAAGCACTCTTAAGATTTTAAGATTGAGGTCAACTTTCGGGTCAAGGTCAGGTCAAAGGTCAAATTCAGGGGTTTTGCATGATAAGGCTTACGGACAGCGGAATCGATAGCTGCTGCTCGAAACTCACCAAAAATGACCTCAAAGGCCTAGTGAAGGTACCATGTGCGTATAGGGGTCATACTAAGTACGGGTCAAGGTCAGGTCAGGTCACGAAAGGTCACGGTTTTCACTTTCTGCTACATGGGCGTGCGACACATGTTTTATGGCTTATTTTTCACGCCGAATCCGATGGTAATAGTTATATGTGACCCCAAGTCACTGTGCTGGTGATAAGTGTGCATTAAAAGCATAAAAAAAATCGTTTATACCATAAATAACTAAACGAGGGCCCAGAAAAAAGGTCAATTTTTCAACTTTTTATTTTTGACATAAAAATGCACTTTTCTAGACGAACTTTGTCCCAGGAATCTAGTGGTGCCATTTGTTTTCACATGCGATGTTCAGAAGTGCCTCTAATTCACGAAAATGCTTATGACGTCACCATGCCCTTTGCATGTTGGAGCTATTTTTTACAATTTGGGGGTCAAAAATCAAGATAGAAAGTTGAAATTTGGGACATCTAATGTTGTAATAGAGTTCTATAACATATATTCCAGTTTTTTTGGAAATTCCAAAAATTTTGGATTTTATTAGCTGTTTTCCAAAACATATAGTTTTTTTGAATTTTTAGGGGTTAAAAACGCATTTTATGGAAAATCCGAGATAGCCATTTTAAAGAAATCGTTGAGCGGCGTCTATTCATGTCCTTAATTTGCAATTTGCTTAAAACTTCGATTTTTGGCGATTTTTCAAACATTTACCTTTTTTTTTGACTGAAAACGCCATGTAGTTACATCACTAAAATCGATATATCTCAGAATTTTTTGGAAATTGTTTCTTAAAGATTGCACGGGAGATGTAAAATTGATGGCGGAGAAGGTATGCCAAGTTTCAAGTAGATAGCGTAAGCGGTTCATGAGTTATTCAAGAAAAACGGAGGGGGGGGGGTCGGATCCGACCCCCCAGGCGGTCGCGGGTTAAGCCCTACATGCCATCGGACTCCTGAGAACTTCGGCTATTTTCGACCAGTTTTGTGCGCTTGAAATGTGTCTTTATAACCCAATCGTGTTATATGCATTTTATACATCTTTAGTAGGGTAGCTTGGGGCAAGACGCCCCAGATAATTTATTTTGCTACATAACTTTTGTCCCACGTCACCTGGAAGGCCAAATTTGTGCTCAATGCGTTCTTTGGACATTTTACTTTAAATTCCACACCTCAAATTCATTCACTTATGATCGAACTCCTAGCTAGGAAGTGATTTGTGAAGCAACTGCTAATGGGGCATTTTGCCCCAACCCCAGGGCAAAACGCCCCACGGCCTGGGGCAAGAAGCCCCACACTCTAGATTAAAGAATAAACATGCTAGTTGACTTAAATCTTATATGAGAGGTCTGTTAGACCTTGGGAAGCACGGCACTGAAGTTAGCTCCTTCCATCCTATCAGGTGTTCAGCTATGACACTATTGTATGAGCAGGTTTTTCACCTGCCTCATAAGGCCAACTAATAAATTATTGCAATGGAAATGTTAACAAAATACTTCCTTTGCCATCCAGTTGCTGAGAAAATTACATATAAATGCATAGAAACTTACTGTTAGCCAGCTACCGAACATTAGGAAGTGGGTAGTCCGAACAACACATGAGGTAAAACGCCCCATGGAGCGTTTTGCCCCGCGACCTACTGGGGCGTTTTACCCCATCACGTAGTTCGGTCAGAGAACAACGCCTTGCACTCCAGCAAGGCATAATTTAACACGAACCAACCCGGCATTAAAAGCGTTAGATAAAGTTGTTCAAAATATATAAAAGTCGTTAACCTGATGTGGACGATAAAAGAACGCCATGATGCATAAGCTGACAACAAAACATAAAAATCACTCCAAAAACACATTTTTGGCTATATCTCCCTAAAGAGTCATCACAATTTCTTTCCAGTCTGCGCATATAATGATCATATAGTGCACGTTTTATAGAAGAGATGATGTTTCTCCAGAACCTTGCCAGTTCCGAGAAACATCGGTGAGGCGTTTTACCTCGGCGGGGCGACTTGCCCCGGTCTACCCTACACTAAAAATGTTTGAATAAGCCTATGGCATTTGACTTGAAGACCCATGAAAAGACCTGGGTCACCTTTTTAGCTGCATTCGAAATAAATCGCTAAGACCGCTTTGGCTTATATGATTTATATCGCTTTTCGAAACTTCTCTTTTTAGGGAGTTACAAGATGCGAAAACGCCCCACTCACGAAACCGTGACTGGGTTACCCCAGCCCTAACCAGGGGAAGCCTTTTGGGTGAAATAACTGTCAGAGGTAATCATATAACTTGCATGTCTTGAATGTTAGCAGCTCGTACATCTCAGGCAATTGATCAATATTTTAACCCTCCCTAATCACAGTCTCGTCGTTCAGCCGCTCGCTACTTACCATCATACAGGCGGTCTTGGTGTCCCCGGAAGGCCGGTGGCAGCGCGGCCCAGGCCCGGTAACCTCCCGCGCCATCCTGTTCTGACGCCACGCCTCGCGGAAGATGCCCACGTAGAGGCCGGTGGTGGCCGCCAGGGCCATCAGCACGTGCCCAGCCACCAGCGGGACAGCCGTGGCCGCCGGCAGGACGTACACCAGGTCACACTCGGCAGCCGCCGGCGTCCAGGCGTTCAGCTCGTCCACCAGTACGATCGAGTTGAGCAGCAGAGAGTACACGTAGATGATCACGACCAGCGAGAGAGCCCTCCGGCGCGACATCAGAGCGGGGTAGCGCAGCGGCAGCTTCACCGCCACGAACCGGTCCACCGAGACGACTACCAGCAGCAGGATCGACATGGTGTTGGTGGCGTTGGTGACAAAGTAGCGCGCCAGACAGGGCCCCTCCTCGCATCGGTACGACACGTCAAAGTAGAAGGAGATGTAGTAGGGCACTGAGAGCGCTGCCAGGAGATCAGCACCAGCCAATGCGACCACGAAGGTGTTGGTGGTGGTGCGGAGGGAGCGGAACCGCGCCACGGCGACCATGACCAGGAGGTTTCCGGACACAGCCGCCACGCACACGATGGCGTCCAAAGTGACCACGTACGGCGTCATCGCCGTGTAGCCGCCCAGGGAGCAGTTGGAGGGCGCCGGCTCGGTGGGAGGCGGTCGGCCCGAGCCCCACGGAGCGCCCAGCTGCATGGTGAGCGTAGGGGGAGCCTGGTGAGGTTGGAGAGACAGCTGCCCGCTGGATACGGCTACAGACGAGCGCAGTTGTCTTGCGGAGCAAATAGAGAGGCCGTTGTTCACTGCAGTACCAGCTGAAGACGAAGAGTCTGTCTCACGGCCACTGTGTCACTTGAGAGTGGCCGGCCTCCGATCACTCCAGAGGATAGCCGTTTGATTCACATAGTTCGTGGTCTGCACTGGGCCAGCCTAATTTAGCTGGAAACTGAAATGATAAGAAAACGTCCTACTCAAATAGCAGTCGTTTTCCGAGTCATTGCTGGTAGCATCGCTGACAGTACAGTACACAGAACTCACGCTGGTCTTGTGTTTGCTTCTTAGTCTCTTTTATCGGATCTTCAATGCCCTTTCACGGATTTAAACCCATCTTCAGGAAACACTTGAACTCTTCTGATCCACTACCGCAATCCCCGTTCGATATCCTCTCAAAATACTTGGAGAAGGACTCTCGGCCACAGCGACTCTCTCCACCTCACGTCGATGTCGACTCTGACCCCGCCGGTGCCGACGCGCAGCTGTCGGGTCCCGGTCGGCCGATAGCGACTATCGTTCTGCCGGCAATTACCGCACTGTTTGCGCAAATAGCCACACCATCAAACGCCGATGGGCAGCGCCGAGAGCGCGGCCCACGCAGCGCGTATACGGGCGGCGCCGGGCGGGGCAGACGGCACGCTGGGCTGTGGTATGACGCGTATAAAGAGACGATGGTGGGAAGAGTGCTGTGGAAGGGTATATGTTAGGCACGGGCCTTGAAATGTAAACAAAAGGGTAACCAATGAGGAGGCGTGAGACAGCCGAAACGGTTATTAGCGCAATGATGATTGGTGCGGCAGTTAAACCAATGAGCGAGCGCGATGCATCTGAGGCGGCTGTGAGGAAGGCGGTCATTGGCGGTTGCGTACGGCTGGCCATGATGCGTGAACGCAGAAAATTGGCGCCAGATTGTTGAGAGCCGCGTGTTGAGGCGGGTTGCGCGAGGGTGGGCTCGCGGGGTATACCGACATGTGTTGAGAGAAATAGAGTTAAGAAGAGAAAAAGGTTTGTTTACGCTCGGCCAAGGATGAATAAAAGTTAGCACACACTAACATCAGCGGTGGGATATAACTTATTGCCTTTTTTATTGTGTAAAGTGTTGCAAGGCTGCGAATGAAGAAAAATCAAGATGGCGCTGGACCGGAACAAAGGTGAGACGGCGGTGAGTAAAGAAATTGGAAATGCTGTAACGGCGACTGCCGGAGGTCTCGGTGGTTGGAGTGGGTTCGCTGGAGTGCCACCACCCACATGCACTGACGCAGACGATGCCGAGGAATTTCTGCGGAAACTACGTAGGTCCGCGCGCGCTAATGGCTGGAGTGAGCAGAGACAGCTGGATCTTCTTCCGGCACTGCTACTGGACGGGACAAGCTGGGTGGCAGATGAGTTGGAAAATAACCCACCAAAAGACATGCAAGAGGCCACGGAAATGATCAGAAACCTGCTCTGCCCAAAAGAGAAAAGAAAAGTGTTACTACACAGGTTTTATGAAGAAAGAATGAAGGCTGATGACAATCCTCGTTTGTTTGTGCTGAAGCTGCAGCAGTTGTTGCGTGGAGGCATGCCAGAGTTGTCCAAGGAGGCACAAGACAGCTTGCTGTTGGAGCAACTGCCTCGAGTGGTACCAAGTAAGTGGACCATGAAGCTGCTGGATGCTGATGCCAGCTCTGTGGAAGCCGTCATTCGGAAGCTGGAGCGACTGCAGACGATGGAGCAGCTGCAAAAGGAGATGACTGCTCAAGAACGTCAGGAACCACCACTGGTACGAACTGTTGTAACCGAGAGACGGTGCTACAACTGTGGCCAGTTAGGTCACATCAAGAGGTTCTGCCCTCGCACAGTGCAACAAGGATACGACAGGGAGAACAGAGGCTTCACACAGGGAGCTGCACGCACAAGACCACCAGCGAAGTACCAACAACACCGACAAGAAGGACCGCGACCACCAGCCCGACAGACCGGTGAAGCTGGAGGAAGCGATCAGCCTCAGCCACCAACAGGTAGGGCCGAAATAAAATGTTTTCAGTGTGGAGGTGTGGGCCATGTCCGATCAGTGTGTCCAAGTGTGCCCCAACATGATGTGCGCCGGCTTGGCACAGCTCCAACTGGTGAAATGAGGGTTAACATGCTGCTGAATGGGGTGAAAATGGAAGGTGTCCTTGACACGGGGAGTGCCATAAGCCTGCTCAACATGACTTTGGTGGAGGAGCTTGGTTTGACGGTAACCGCGATGCCAGAAGTGAAATGTTTGGCTGCTAATGGATCTGAGGTATCTCTGATGGGTCACGTGGAGGTGGAGATAGAACTGGGCCCAGCCAGAGTTGTTCACCAGCTGTGTGTGTCTACGGGGCTCACGGACCCTCTGCTCATTGGACTGGATCTCCTGAACAAGTTGGATGTGGTCATCCACTGCGGCACAGGTCAACTGCGGGTCGGAGGTGAACCCGTGGAGAGATGTGAGTCTCAAGAAGTTTCAACCAGATGTCCTGTGGTCTGTGCTGCACGGTCTCAGACCTTCATCCGTGTCAGTCGACTGGTACAACCACAGACACAACTGTTCCAGCCATCAGATGTTTCGGGGGTGACGATCGCGCCGGCAGTTCACCTCAAGCACCAAGGAACACCGGTTCGGATCCTGAACATGGGGGATGAAGATGTCACCATTCCAGCAGGCACAGTGCTCGGAGTCCATGAGTCTGTTCATGTTGCTGAGCTGCATCAGGGACAGAAGAGAAAGGAAGAACTGGTGATGCGGAGTCAACCAGAGGGACCACAGCTGCCATCGTTGGATCACCTGAACATGCCAGAAAAGAAGCCGTTCAAGGATCTTCTGGAGGAGTATCAAGATGTATTCTCGAAGTCACCGTCAGGAAGATTGTTTCGATGGCTTGAGCAACTGCAACAGTTTGACCACGCCGTTGAGCACGTGGCGGGTCGCCTGATCCCTCAAGCAGACGCTCTGTCTCGCAAGTTTGAGATGAACAACATGAAGCACGAACTACGACCGACCGCACCAGAATTCGTACCAAGAGGAGTGGGAGTGGTTGACAATGTGACACTGCGGCGCTCTACAGTCGTGGACGAGCAAGAGCCATCCACGGAAGGTGAAAACGACGGAGAGACACCAGAAGCTGAAAACCGTGACGAGAGAGTGGAAGTTGAAAATGATGGAGAGGTAAGGGAAGAAGGAAACGATGAAGAAGCCGGAGAAGGAGGAAACGTCGGCGACAGTCCATGTGACGTCGTAGACATCGAGCACCTTGGCGACCTGGTTACAGAGACACGGACAGATCCTGTACTGTGCCAGCTCACTCGACACCTGAAAAAGCAGTCAGTGAAGACGGACAAGTTGACGCACAGCCAGCAATCAGAACTGGACTTCTACACCGGACTTTCAGGCTTGCAGCTACACAACGGCATAGTTCAGCGGATCTCGGATGGACACCAGAGAGCGCAAGTGATCCTGCCGACAAGCGTCAGACAGAGAGCACTGCGTCTGGCTCACGACGCTCCGATGTCAGGGCATGGTGGCGTGAGACGAACACTCCATCGGCTGACAACAGGCTTTTTCTGGTATAACATACAGCGCGAAGTACGACGCTACTGCGGAAGCTGCACGTCGTGTTTGAAGACGAAGCCGAAGTACACAAGCTGCAAAGAGGGAAGAGGAACAATTTCGGTAGAAGGCGAGCCGTTCCTGCACTGGTCAGCAGATATCCTCGAGCTTCCGGAAAGTGACGCTGGTCACAAGTACGTACTGGTCATGACGGACCTCTTCAGCAAGTGGGTGGAAGTGTTTCCGTTGAAACGACAGACTGCGGAAGAAATCGTGCACTGTGTGATGCAGGTGATCGGCCGCTTCGGGGTAATGAAGACCCTGTTGACCGATCAGGGCCGCAATTTTGAAGGAGCCCTCATAAAAGGAGTCTGTCACCTGCTGGGTGTCAAGAAGCTGAGAACAACTATATACCACCCATGCTGTAACGGACAGGCGGAGCGACTCAATCGGACACTGATGGAACTACTCACCCACTACGTGGCAGAAAACAGGCGCGACTGGGACCTGTGGCTACCTGTGGTAGCATCGGCGTACAACTCGGGATGTCACAGCGCGACGGGATTCTCACCAGGGGAGTTGGTGTACGGGAGACCAATGAGAACTGTTCTGGAAGACGAATTCGACGTGGAGAACATCAAGAACCAATCTCACCGTCAGTTTCTGGGAGAGCTAAAGAAGCGCCTGGAACACACGCATCAGAAAGCACTGGAACTGATCAGACAGAAGCAGAGTCTTCGCACCGACACGAGACCAGCAACGTTTCAGCCAGGAGATGCCGTGTGGTGTCGCAATTTCACAGCCGGAAAAGGAGTGCATGGGAAACTGAGACCGAAGTTTGAAGGACCCTACACAGTGGTGGAGGCACGACCACCAGACTACGTGATAAGGAAAGGTCGGAAACGCAGACTGATACACGGTTGTCACCTGAAGAAGGGGGACAGTACAGCAGGCGAGCGAGAAATGACAGTGCTGGAGATCGAGGAGAGACACGGCACTGGAAGGGACGACTATGCTGAAGCAAACGGACCAGAGGTCGTCAGCGGAGAGACTGAGCTGGCGGCAACGACAGTGACTGGTGGAAGAGAAGAAGGTGTGGCTGAAGATGTTCAGTTGGATGGACTGAATATCGATGATCAGATACCGAAGAGCGCGGTACAGCCGTCACGAGAAACGGATGACGCAGGGCTCAATCCGACGGAGCTGTTGGAACCAGTGGCGAGAGCAGCGCAAGACACGACGGTCGACGGGAAGACGTCAGCGCCAGACGAAACGCCGGACGAGGGAGCCGCTGACAATGTGAAGACCGTCGAGACCAGTTCGACACAGGACGATTCGCTGGAGCCAGATGATCTCGCGAGGACGAGAGATGACCTGAACGAGACGGACATCAGCATGATGACCTCAGCTGATGAGACGGTTCCGGAGGCTGCCGGGACAACGCGAACGAGGTATGGTCGTGAGGTGAGGAAACCATCGCGCTACCTCTAGCAAGAACCGTTAATGAGCTTAGTGCTTGGTTTTGAGTTAGGTATGTTTTAGTGTAAGTTGTGACTGAGGATGCTCGTGTTCCTGTGACGCGGTATTGTGGAATCGCTAGTTGTGCGGTACAGCTTCAATTATTTGATGTTCGCCCTATGTTTCTAGTTTAAGGGGAGGGGGATGTTAGGCACGGGCCTTGAAATGTAAACAAAAGGGTAACCAATGAGGAGGCGTGAGACAGCCGAAACGGTTATTAGCGCAATGATGATTGGTGCGGCAGTTAAACCAATGAGCGAGCGCGATGCATCTGAGGCGGCTGTGAGGAAGGCGGTCATTGGCGGTTGCGTACGGCTGGCCATGATGCGTGAACGCAGAAAATTGGCGCCAGATTGTTGAGAGCCGCGTGTTGAGGCGGGTTGCGCGAGGGTGGGCTCGCGGGGTATACCGACATGTGTTGAGAGAAATAGAGTTAAGAAGAGAAAAAGGTTTGTTTACGCTCGGCCAAGGATGAATAAAAGTTAGCACACACTAACATATAGATAAGGCACATTAAACGTTATGCGCCAGGCGCGGCCATAGCGCGGGACGCGACGCCAGCGCCGCCTATCGGCAACGCCAGAGAACTAAGGTCGGTGAGAGCACGGATTTTGATGGGTGATAGCGCAGTGTGAAAAAATAGGAAAGTTACATGAAAATGTCGCTATACTACGGTATAGTTCACCATCTGAGCGACATATTTATGTATTTTTTATCCATGGCGGATAAAAATTGGACCCGGGATCTGGCCATGGAAGAAAAAAATGTTGGTCAGTGTAAGCACGGATTTTCGTGGAAATGAGCACAGTGTGAGAAAATAGGGAAGTTACATAAAAATGTCGCTATACTACGTTGTAGTTCGCTATCTGAGCAACATATCTATGTATTTGTTATCCATGACGGATAAAAATTGGACCTGGGATCTGGCCATGGAAGAGAAAAATGTTGGTCAGCGTAAGCACGGATTTTCGTGGAAATGAGCACAGTATGAAAAAATAGGGTAGTTACATAAAAATGTCGCTATACTACGCTGTAGATTACCATCTGAGCAACATATTTATGCATTTTTTATCCATAGCGGATAAAAATTGGACCTGGGATCTGGCCATGGAAGAAAAAAATATTGGTCAGTGTATGCACGGATTTTCGTGGAAACTAGCACAGTATGAAAAAATAGGCAGCTTACATAAAAATGTCGCTATACTACGCTGTAGCTCACTAACTGAGCAACACATCTCTGCACTTTTTATCCATAGGAGAGAAAAATTCGACCCGGGATCGGGACATGGAAGAAAAAAATATTTGCACCACCAAATGAAATTAAGATACATCACTCCCGTTATATTTGTATTGAGTCTTTCATGAAACAATTTCGCTATACTACGGCAAACAGCATGACGTCTCGCATATATTGAGACATATTTTGACAATGCAATGTAGGTATAATACAATTTGGAATGTTCATAAACATTTTATCTTCTCCTGCCAAATCCCGGTGCCAATTCTCCCCGAATATTGGTAAAAAATACGTCAGGGTAAACGCATATTACTGAATTTAATTGCATTATATCGCATTTTTCAGTTTATCGTTAAGTCTCCACACAGGGACGTTTTCATCTGAAGTTTGGCCGCCGGAGCCACCGCGAGGCCTAGTTGCACGAGTAGCCGATAGTCGGCGCCACCGTCGCACTCGGCCGCAGCCAGTATACTGCCAAAAATGGAGCTATTATGATATCGCTCGTTGGTAACTAAGTGTGGCGTGCTTCATAAATGATCGCCGCATAGAGAAACAACCGTTTAATGAAGAAAATGACTTATATTTTACTCATAATAACAATCTGAACCCCAATGTCCGCTTCTATATGGAGTTTGGCGCATAACGACATGTTTTGTTTGCGTTCAATCGCTTAAATCACATAGAAAGTAAGATATGGGCGAAGGCTATTTAGTTTGGTAATATTAAAACTATTTCTTATGCCTATTTTAATTTGTTGTATTCTTTTTACCGACAGCCTTACCTAAATAAAACAATTGGCAATAAAAGATACAGAGGAAAGGAAATGCCCACTGCAGTGCTCAAGCCTATCCTCTGCTGACGTGACGCTGCAGTGAGGGCCTCTGATTCCTAGTGTCAGGCTCATTGCTCCCATTGACAACCGTTCTCTTGACTCATGAAAAATAATTCCGATAATCGACACTTAATTGAGCATTCAGACCTTGTCCATATTCTCAGTGTAACACAAACACGGTGTGTTGGGAAACTTCATCGCTAAAGGCACCTCAGTTCGCTCAGCGCTCACATTCCGTTGACAACTTACTGAAAACTGAAGCTTCATAAAAAGACAACAGTCCAGTCCTCAGTATTGTGACAAAACATGACACCATATGGGTAGTTAGGTAGGTACAGCAGCACATGTTATCCCTCTAAGCTGTTGCCGTGTAGCACACATCACTCAAAGAGCCGCTGTGTGTTAGTAAGTGCACTTGGTACACATTATGCAATTACATAGTGTATTCCAGACTTCGCCAAATTAAACAGTAGTACCGTAACGTGCCACGCTGCAGTGTTTCTACTTTTGGTGTTCGGAATTATGTAAATGTTTGAGTTGCAAGTGGCCCTTCTCAGACGGTGAAAGCTGATACATAGTTGCAAACAAATCATCCGCCGGGATAGCGCTACATTTTCATAAGTACACATTGCTCTCCCCCGTTTCAGGAACTAACGCTACCAAGGAATAGAAAGCACTCGTACTGTAACACCATGCGTATCCCAACTGCTAATACTGTACAATCAGGGCCTCTAAATAGACGATCAGGATCTAGCCATCTGCCATTTTCTCTGTGAAACTTCATAAATGTCGTCCAGTCCAACATCAATTATATCAGCATTCATAATCACTTTTCGATGATACACTCGTTGTGACGATCCATCGGTCCTCAAAACAGTTTACATTTTGACCTCAATAGCACCGTCTATTTTTCACTCAGCAACCTGACGAAGTTATAATATCTCACGTTTCCATATACTTCGACAGAGCACACGCCCTCACCGCTAGCTCGGTGTTTCTCTCAGTCGGTGTAGTCTCTCAGTGAGTGATCCGTCCAACCTGGTGGGCTCTGGACCACCACGGCGCTGACGCGGTGGCCCAGACCACCGCCGTACCGACACCGTCGCGCCCAGGAGCCGTGTCCGCCGAGCCACCCGGCCGGAACGGTTCCGGACACCGCCGATTGCCTCACAGGCCGTGATATCGTCCGTAATGATTGCTTCAGAGTAGTCCGTATCGTCCGTGCCGATTGCCTCAGCGGGCTGTGATGTTTAAAATCGGGCCCCATCACCGATTTTATGACAAAGGGTGGATCACGAGCGCTGACAATCATGGCCTCGCCATCTTTCAGTCCGAAGGACATGTGACTGTGACAGTCTCTCGTGGTTTGTTCACCTGTCGCGCGGCACATGTCCCTCACTCTCCAGCCCTTCCCTGATAGACAGACGTGACCTCCCCTGTCGCCCCGGACGCACTCTCGTCAGAGCTCGCGGCCAGAGCAGCATGCAGTTGGCCGCCGGCTTCAGGTCACCGCGACACCCTGGCGGCGGTGGCCGGAACTACTGCGCCGCTCTAGTCGACACCTGAAACAAACAGGGCCGTGTGTGAAAATGGTGCACGGTACATGTACGGTATTCCCGGGTTTGAACGGTTAGTTATCGCACAAAGATAACAGGAGAGGTGAGCCGACCGCGGCGCCTCAGACAGTCAGTCGCCGCGCGGGGGCGAGAGGAGACGACGCTGTGCGGTGAGGCGACCCGCCCCCATCCCCATCATGCCACCTAACCTCGTCTCACATTCCTTTCCTCGCCCTTTACCGTCTGCCCTCGGCACTGCCTCGTGTTTGAGGACGTGAGGACAGGAGCCGCCGCCCGGCACCGGGCAGGCGGCGCCGAGGGCAGGCCTCAAATGGCCAAATGGATGACATGCATCGCTGGGAGGTAAGCACGGGAGTGAGCGCTAAGGCCAGAAGTGCACTATGCGGCGCTCAGTAGCAGCCATCCGTTCATTACTGTATAACGGCGCTGTTTCATTCCGTGGTGTGCAATTTCGTTTATGATGATAAACGTTTATTCACAGGTGGTTAGCGCATAAATGGAGCAACATAGAAGAATTCCGTTTAACTTCATCATTTGCGTTGAGCTGTGACTAAAGCAGAAAGTTAAATGAATGAAAGAAGTGTGAGATTGCTTAGATTTGTGCCACAGTGGCAGGTTCATTCCTCGTGATTGCCGGTAACAGACCGTTTACAAAACGCAATCATGGCTGCGCTTTGTAATTCAGTGTGGCACACTTATAATTGTGCCACAAAACATAACTAATAGTTATGTTTATGATTCGTTGCGTTTCGGGTTTGTGCTAGCCTCTTCAACTAGCGCAGTGGCCAAGCTAAGGTTCGATCGCCAATGATATCAAATCAGCCTCTAATCATATTATGTAGCCAGTTGATCGCAAAGTGACGTCACAAGGCGGGTGGTGACGTCACGGATCCGACCAGAACTACGTCACACCGGATCCGCTGCCGTTCTCAGAAGGGTTGGCTCATACCGGACACTGAGTAACGGGACACTTCTCAATAACCGCAAACGTCATCTTCACTAGACATGTCGCCCACTTTCTCCTGTGTGTTTTATGCATTGACATTGCCCAACCGGTCGACTTCAATAGAAGCGGCTCCTGTTTTCGTTTCGATGGAGCCCCACTATCAGTTGGTGACCATGGCGCTATCAGACTCTGGCCGGGACGACCGTGTGGATGGCCGTGATCGGTTCGCGGCAGTGAACTTTCAAACCGGTGAGTGACATTCGCCGCGACTGAGAAAGCGCCCCGCCGAGAGAAAACCCCGTTTGTTTGCGGTCCATTCGCTCAGCAACCGTTGAGCACAGAGTCACGCCTCAGCAGACACCGGCACCGGTCGGCCGCTTCGTGATTACTTATCAGTGGCTGTATCATCATCCGCTGTCTAGGGGATAAAGGAGAGAGACAAAGAGAGACAAAGCGATAAATGGCATAGCTAGAAAAAAAGAGGAATGTGCTTGGTAAAAAAAGAGTAAATGTTGAGAAAGCGAGAAATGGAGGTAGGACAAGGTAAAACGCAGAGAGACAAAGAAGAACGGCGGACGACAGAGAGAGAGAGAGAGAGAGAGAGAGAGAGAGAGAGAGAGAGAGAGAGAGAGAGAGAGAGAGAGAGAGAGAGAGAGAGAGAGAGAGAGAGAGAGAGAGAGTACCAGCTGATGAATTATGAGTCGTGTTTCATGGTTCACCACGGTACCGTCTCGCCTCTGCCTTGGTGAAGTGCTGCTCTCTCCCTAAGAGGCGGGTCGGGATCACTACTCAAGTACTCAGCCGTCTGCCACGGGTCACGACGCTCCGCTGCCCCCACCCACTCTCCACGCTTCGGTGCTGAAGAGGAGAGAGAGGTAGAGAGACGGGGAGAGAGCGGCGTAGTGGGTCAGCACAAGCCGAAATGGAGACGAGCAACACTGACCGAGGTCCTTTGTCAGACAGGCCGCTTATCAGCTGCATAGCTCAGCTCAACTTTCTGACAGCCTTATCCCCAATAGCGACACAGCTCGCCCCGGTGGACATCAGAGAGACCTCAAGACCTGAGTCCACCGTCAACTGACACCTTGCTGAGCGCTGACACTCGTCAGACATTAATCTGACACTGAATGACGGATTAGATAGGTCAGAGAGCTAACCTGTCTTCGCAGCAGGTGAGCGTGGTATGTATCCGATTCAGAGTCAAATAGCAAGCATCTTTATTATCTAACCAACGCCGTTTCCGGCATCGACTGTGCTGTTAGCCGGACAGTCACGCCCTACCCCAGGCCCCGCTACATTGTCGAGGCCAGCGAGGCCGCCTAGCAGCAACCGGCCGCCCCGCCCGCCCCGCTACCACAAGCAGCCCGCATAGCACTGACCCACCGCCTGGCCCACCAGCGACTCGCTGCACTGACCGTTCCAATTCTAACCCACCGCCCTCCTGGCACGAACGGCACGCCGGGTCAGTTGGGTCAGCGGCTGGCGCACGGACAAACAGCTCAGAGTGGGACAGGCGGCGGCCAGTAGGATGGGCGGCGGCCAGTGCACTGACCGACGTAAGACAATGCAGAACGCTCAACAGCCAGCACCACCCGAGTCAGTGCTTTGTGGGATGACTGAGGTCTGTCTATTGGTTCAGTTCTGTCCACTGAGTCGGGATTATAAAGGCTGGGTCAGTAAGCTTTCTATCAGGCAATTTTATGCCGTGTCTTGTCGGCTGATGAGTTGCTCTAACATCTGATTTAGTGCGCAGTCCTTTGTTTACATTTACGGGTATGTCTGATTCTGCTCTCTGTCGCCTCACAACAATGTCAATGATTTGAAGTCATGAAATTTTGACGGCGCTGTCAGCCTGATGGACGTTCAACGCCCTCCTATTGTCAATTCCCGCTTTGTCCGCCGCTCGACCGACCGGCATACCACACCTGGTACCGCCCCGGGGCGACCCGTGCGCCGCCGCCGCGCCGACGGCCGACCAGCCGTTCCCGAGTAACGGGTCGGCTACAGGCGGCGACAGGAGCCGTCTTTGCAGCCACGTGAACGGAGGGATCCTTGGGCGGTGACTGTTCGGCAGTGGTTAATCTACACCTACTCATCCGGATGAGCAATATAGGTGTGAGCATTGAGAGCACACCTTGCAGTGACTCAACTCTCCCTCCTTAGTTCATACTTCAGCCCTAGCTAACCGACCCCGCCTTCTAGCCCAACCCGACTACATCGTGCCCAGCCGGACAACACTCTCCGCGCACCCCGCCGCGCCGGTCGTCACGCGCGACTGGTCACCGCCCTGCCCCCGGCTGAGATAACGTTACCAGACACGTCCGGCGCTGTCCGGACGACCACGCCCCGAGCAAAAACCATCGATCGACACCGTCATTTTCAGGTATTTACGCATGATACAGGTGTTTCTGGATGCCAATAAGTGGCAAGGTGATCAATCACGAAAATCTGAACCATGAATGTAAATTTTGGCCGGCAGGGATATGAAGGAATGCATCAAAGAAATGCAACCGTGTATGCATCATACATACGTTAATAATATACCTTGGGGACTGTGAAGCTGATATGCGTTTATCTAAAACCATTCAGACAAAAAAAAAATCTCAATCATCAAAACAAATGGCATGCTTACTGCAAGGCGATTGGATGGGATTGTCAGTGGTCTGATAACTAAAGCCACAATTAATGAAATCGTGTCTAACGGCATATTCATTGGTAATATCGACAGCCGTTTCCGATATTTATTGGCTGGGTTCAATAGTTTCCGATGGCCCGTGAGCCAGTTCCAGTCGGCAATTATTTACCGCTGGGTTTGCCCGTTTTCCCGGCGATAAGGACCGCTAGTTCCCGGTGGGTTTGTCCGTGTTGCCACGCCCCGGGCCATGGATGACCGCGGATACGACCAGGGAAAACAGCAGTGGGTGTGGGCTGTGGGCGACTGAGGGTGTGAGCTGTGAATGACCACTGGTGAGGGTTGTGTATAGCCGAGGGTGTCGCCAGTAGGTCGCCCTCGGACAGGGGCCGGGACATTGCCCCACTGACTGGCCACCGCCCCTCTGTTTTGTCGGTGCCGCGCGCGTGACCATTGTACTTACCACCGTGCCACTCTGTGCCACCGTGCCGCTCTGTGCCGCTGTGGTGTGCCGCCCTCTGCCGACAGCCGTAGTGACCGAGATACACACAATAGACACCCCTCCCCCTCCCCGGCCGTCTCATAAGAGATCCCTGTTGGGACGCGCCTTCCCTTCCCCGCTGATGATTCTAATGCGGCGAGAGCCGAAAACTCAAGCCTCCAGTTCCCAACAGATGGCATTGGAAAGACACCTCAGCATGTCTACTCAGCATTTTTAAGTCCGTAACTAAGGAAGGTTTCATCAACTTCATCGAGAAGCGGCGTTCCATCTGTTGAATAGACCAGCAGGCGCGGCCAATCCGGTCGATCCAGCGCCATATGGCAGTTGATCGCTAGCTAAGGTTCGTTAGCCCTCGGTGGCCTATTTCCCGGAGCCGCTGTCAGGTCGCTTGGAGCGTGGCGTGGCTCCACCATCTGTTGTGTTAGCTGACAGCATGCATACTGCTATAGGCACTGTCTGAATATCGGCGTGTGGCTTGACCCAGTCTGTATATCGGTGTATATTAGCAGGCAGCATGCTTATACCGCAGCCTACGTACTGTCTGAATATCGCTGTGTGGCTCGACAAGTCTGGATATTGGTGCAAGGTTTGACCCTTACCGGTATAGCTAGTTATACCGTTTTTTTTTTGTACGGCAGTTGTTTGACCTTGTTCGTTTGACAATTCGATTTGGACTTCATACGCCCCGGCGTGATATTTAGTCAGACACGGTAACAAGACTGGTGTGGAGCCTTTACCGAATAACGGACACCACCTATAGATTTGCTTTGCCAATGAGCAGATTGATAGTAATCGATAGCTATAAGGACTGATATATGCTGAAGCCATGAAATGCTGAATGATGCAGGGCTTAGCACCATGATAGTTTCTGAAATAATGCACACAAGTCCCTTCATACTTACAAATTTATATGTGGCAAGGGATAACAAAAGATTAAATAGTTTCTGCCACAGATAGAACATGTATGACATCGCGTGAGCCTATATAAACACAACTATTTCAGATCCAGACTAAATTTAGACTGCTGATAAGTTATTCAAGGCACTTGTCATGGACTAATTATCAACATGGTGTTCCGTTATAGGCCTGCGATATCCTTCATCGGTTTCTTTCTTCCGGGCAGCAGTAAATGGCTAATCCTTTCCCTGGATGTCACCTTTGTAACGGGATTTAGTATGTAAGCCGATTAGTAGCCACAATGACAAGACTATCATGGGCCTTCCCACTTCACGGGATGATTGCAATTATGATTGGGCAGTGGGAAAGAAGGACATTATTTTACTCTTCCGAAGCCCAGACACATGCTGGACAGTGGATACCCATATGCCAGCATATGTTTCATGGAGTTTTAACAGGTTTGCTTGCTTTGAAAGTTGTGACTTTGTCGCATTATCAAAACATCAGAAGAAGCAGTTAATGCAGCCGTTAATTGAAAATGGTTTCTAGTTCCACGGCCGTCTCTCCGTACTATTTAGTGATAATTTACTTTCGCATGTCAAAATCCCGCTATACAACAGCGCATTTCCAAGATTGCATTGCCCTTGTAGGGAAACAAGGCAATTGTTAAGTCCTTGACAACGTGGATGAATTATGATAATCTGTCCGCGAATCGAGGTAATTTTGAGCAAACGCCGTCACATAAGCGTTAACCGCATGCGTTTAGTTAACATAATCATTGAGTCCCCATGCGGAGCTTTCACATGATTACCCACTTATGTAAAATATGTCTCCGGTTAGACGGAGCCCGAGTTAACCAGGTTCCATGAAGCTGGTTATGTGTTCACGCACACGATGTCGCAATAGCTTAGAGCTGCACGGCTTACCTTCCCACTGCTCAGTAGAGTGGGACGTCTTTGTAATTGGGCAGTAGCAGCCAAGAGGCAAGTAGGTACCGCTTGTCGAGGAAACACGGATCCTCGATATCGATACCTATCGATATCGGATATCGAATTCCACACATTGGTTCATTGGCAGGTGGGACGCTGCTCCGAAGATTGTAAGATTTTTAATCTTGGCATAGCAGTGACGTGGTTTAGCGGGGCGATTCCTGCCCGTCGTAAGACGATTGTACGCGCCCTTCGAGGTGCATGGGACAAACCCAGGCCATCACAAACCGAGTAGGTGAAAGGGTTGAGCCCAGGCCATCACAAACCGAGTAGATGAACGAGGTGACCCCAGCCCGTTACGATCCGTATGGGTGAGCGGGTGACCTCGGTCGGGGCGGCGTCACCGTAACGCACCGCCGGCCTTGGTCATCCCTGGCCGGCTGATGGGTGACGAAGTCGGGCACGGTTCCGGTCCCGCGGACGCGGCTGCGGTGAGCCGGCCGCTGCGGCTCCAGTGAGCCAGCCGCTTTGGCTCCCAGCCGTCCCGAGCAGCTCCCACGGCTAATCTGGCCGCTGAGTGGCACCACAGACTCACAGGGTCGGAGCCGAGTCCGACCGGCCGCCGGGGACGGCCCCGCTGTCGGTGTCCCTTTCAATGGCACTTCAGAGCGGCTTTAAAGTGGAGTGACCCTGAGACTGTTTGAACTGGAATTCCACCGGAGTGGCCCTGACGGACCGCTAAATCACAGAAGTTCTGTCAAAGAAACCGTTCAAGGAAGAAATAGACCACCCGCTAAAACGAGGCAATGCTGACATTGACGAGCCATAATACATTCACTGGGAACCTGTGTGGCACCTGGGGCATTTCCTGGACTGGTGCTTTTGGCACAAATGTGGTGCTTTGTTATCTGTATCAATAAGGACAAGAGCAGAGAATCAATTGTTTCCATGTGTTGAAAAATGTATTTAATACGTCAATAATTTTATAGCGTAAAAATATTCAAGTCAAACTATATAATATAGGTATGTATGTACATACATCCTTGACGTTGCTGATAATATGATTTGAATAGACTGAAGGTATATACTAGTGATGTCAATTACAGAAAATCGGAATGCCGATACCAAACCAAATACCAACCAAAACCATCAGGAAATACCGAAACCGAACCAACTTGAGAAGATGAGGAAAATACCAACTTTTTACCGATTTTTCAACCTTGTAATACATTAGCAAGGGTTCATAATACCAACAAAATACCAAAAACAATCGGATTTAAATACCAAATACCAACTTGGTATCGGTTTGGTATCGGTATACCAAAAAGTTGGTATCTGATTGACATCACTAGTATATACGTATTACATAAGGCATTCATCCCTTTGGCCGTTCTGGTCCTAGTTTAGTTACCTACTCTCTCCGGGTTGTTCAATGAATGCATGACTCCACAGGTGTATGTACGACCCACTCTCTCTGATAGTACTGACCTGCTGTCCGTCTACTGACGATGCGCAGCTGCCGTGTCGGGAGCCGACCCGGTGTCCCGGCTGGCAGACAGCGGCCTCCGCCGGAGCGTGGAGGCCGCAGAAGAGCAGCCGACCGGCGGCGTGCACCTCCTCTCTGTCCAGTGCGCGCTCGCAGCTGGCGCAGCGCAGGCACGCCACGTGGTAGACCGAGTCGGCGGTGGGCCGCACGCCGTCCTGCGGGTACACCGTGTCCTCGCAGCGCACACAGAGCGGGTACCAGCCGTCAGAGTCGGTGCCGAGCGCGGCCAGCGCAGTGGCGGCGGCGCGGCGCGAGCCGGAGGGCTTCCCCGCTGCCCGGTACCGTCCCCGTCGGTCCACCGTCCATGCGTCGATCGAGACGCCCGCGCGTGAGTCGGTGTCCGGAGCTGGAGGCTCCTCCGAGCGGTTGTCGGGCTCCTCAAACTTTGATCCGAGGTCGTCCCAACTGGCCGGGTAGCCCCGCACCGTGCCGCCCAGCACGGTGTACAGGTCTGCCTTGCGGAGTCCACTCATGTCTCCGCTCTCGAGAAGAGCCTGTTTGAAGGCGAGGAACGAGTCGGGCAGCGCCGAGCGAGCCTGTAGTTTTTCCAGTCGGCGCACGTTGTGTACCGTCAGAGCGGAGGGCACTTCCACTTCGGGAGGCGGACAATCGCCCTGGCTGCTGCCTCCCTCGCTGCTGGCTCTCTCAACTTCCTCTCCGAAGTAGAAGTGTTTGTCGACTGTGGTAGCTGCTGAAACTTTGCGAGTCGCTGTCGGACTCTCTGGGATAGCAGGCTCTTCCTCTTGTTCTTCCTCAGAGGAAACAAAGTCAGCCGGCGAGACGCGCTCGCTGACTACAATGAGGAACTCCTGGCTGCACTCCCGCTGCTCTTTAGCGGGAATGTAGCAGTAGCCCGACTCTTCAGAGATGACCGTAAATGATTCACCGGAATCCTCCTCAGTTGCAGCGGCGGCGCACGCCTCCGAGTCTCCTCCGTCACTGGCGCCGCACCTCTCGCCCGCCCGCTCCGCGCGCGACTCGCTCTGTTCCGAGACGGCGACCCGCTCCGAGCCGCCGTCTGTGACGTCATCGGACCGCTGCGGCTCCCGGGCGCGGTCACGGGCCGCTGCCTTAGCGCAGCTCTCTCTGTTCGAGCGCGGTGTCGCCTCGCTTTCTGACCCTTCCAGGCCAGAGTCGTGTGCGTCGCTGCTCGTCGCCCAGTCGCCGGCGAATGCCGCCGGTGCGCTGATGACGTAGCTGGGCTCAGCGAACAGCTGATTCTGGTATTGTTCTGCCAGTGACAGCCGGTAGTGGAGGCCGGTCGGAGGAGGCGGCACCGACTCGACACCGCTCCGCTCGCTATAGCTCGACGCTGCCGACGAGGGAGCCGGACTGGCGTCGGCGTCGGCCTCGATATCGGAAGTTGAGGTGCAGGTGGCGGCGTCACTGGTCGACGAGCTGCGCCGGGGCAGGGGCGCTGCTTTCGGAGAGGGCAGATACCGCACTACCTTGGCCTCTTGCCGCAGGTGGCGGTCGCGGTGGTGAACCAGCTGAGTGCGGCGTCGTGTGCGCTGCGGTCGCCGCGGCAGATCCGGTGACCCGCTGCCGTCGACCTTTAGCGTGACCCGACCGCTGGCGAAGGTCACCAGAGAGGCGTCCCCCGACTCCGAGCGGGGGCTGGGAGCGCGGGCAGGGGTCGGTCCCACGCCGGCAGGCAGACTTTCTGGCCCTCCGCTGATGCGAACTATTGTCACGTTCGACATCTGAAACATAAAAGGAGATACGGGATGAGAATGTAGCATAACTATGAGAATGTGTCATAACTAGACCTTTCACTACATAGTCTGTAGAGAGAAATGGGCTATTTGAATGGAATGCCGATTGTTGGCATGTTGATTGGCTCTCTGGAAGCTGCCTGATTAACTAATGATATGTTACATAGTTTTAGGGGCTTATCTGTTTCAACAATCAGCATTTTGAATCATTCACGACGCTTCATTAATTTAGACGAATGAAATCGTAAGCGCACAAAGTCGAGCTCCTATAAATTTTTGAGATTTTCTTCTATCACTTCAACCTAAAACCTAGGTTTTGAAACTGAAGATACATCTTAGTATTTCGTCACAGCAATGTAAATGCATCATTTTACCATAATTGGTGCGGCATTTCGGAATTCGTGAGTCGGACATTCTCCTTGATGCCGGCCCGTTCCCACGATATTCGCTATTCCACGCTGATGACGTTCAGGAAATGAGATATAGCAGACCGACGATTGTCTATTGTTCAAGTCGAGTCGAACGGAAACGATCGCACGGAATAGTGTGAAACAGCCTCTACACGGACAAAATTAGGTAAATAGGATCTCTGTTTCAGAGTCGCTGCTTTCCTGGATAACTTACTACCAGCTCCATACAATAGTAGGAGTCTATCACAGCTGAAGACACAAGCACGGTACTATAACGACGTCCTCTGATGGCATTGTTCCGCAGAGTTTAGCTCCTCAAGATACCCAGACGGCCATACCGGAATGCTGTTATCAAGGTGGACTAGAAATATGTGAATTTTGATTTAGAAAGACCAGATATTTCGATTGAAGGGTTCATAGATAGCATGTATCATTCATGTAGCTGTAGATAACAGATTTATGTTATCTATGAAGGGTTATAAGTAAGGTCACAGAGACTCGTAATGCTATAGGATGCTTGCTGGTTGTTTTAATATTATAAATGTAGATCCAGCCAGCTTGGGCATACCTAATTAAATGCTATGCGAGGCGCCATTGGAAATGTTTACCGAGCACTATCCTTGTTTGTTTTGTTGGGTTAGGCCATTTCGGTGTGACGAGCCCATTTCAGGGCCGGAAGGATGGGGGAGACATTGGTCTGGGCCGGCATCCTAGTGAGCCACCGGGGCTTGGCCCGTCCGAATTGACAGGCCGAGCAGCCCCCGAAGCACTCACTGTAACCAGCTACGGGTGTGCTCCCTTAGGAGCTGCGGTGCGCTCCAAAGGGAGTCACCCACATGGGATAAAGACAAGTTGCCCGTCCACCCCGGAGCAGGGGAAAGAGGCGCAGAGGAGAATGATTTATCTGTCCTAAGGATGGAGGAGAGGTAACGGAGGACAATTCTTGACAATGCATTAAATAAGATGCGTAGCTAGCAACGGCCGTTCAGCAATCCCCAACACGCTATGCGTGTCTCTTTCTTTAATGAAGTAGATCATATGCCCCTTTACCCTCTCCCTGACCTCAAGACGTCATCAGCCCGCCCGACCTGCGGCAACTAGAGGTGGCGCACCACTAGGTGGCGCACCACTAGGTGGCGCTCGCTGTTGGCTTGAGCGGAACAGAACCAGAGACAGAGGCTGGTGGTCTCTGCCACCTACCGGTCAGGTCTGGAAGCAGCAAGTACGAAATCAGGTCACCTAGCGGCGAGTCTCCGAACCAGTGGCGGCACAGATGTCTCTATCAACAACCACTGGAGTCGGATACCTTCATGGCTACATACTTGTGAAATTTGGATCTGATAGGGGCCATTGGGATTTGAAGGGCCTGTGGCGATCTAAGAGGGCCACATGCTTCCATCGTTAATCACTCAATACACACATTGATCTATCCGTGGGCCCTCTGGGTCGAAGGACTCGAAACTGGTCGAGAAAAGGCATTGGACAAAATAACTGTTAAACATTCGATTGTTAGGGGTGGCAGGGGAAAGGATTTATTTATAACCGACAGGTTCGTCTGAGCTAGTCTGGCTATTGACACCTGTAAGTTCGTTCTTTAATGATTTATCTATAACTCGGATGCTGCCAATATGCACTAGCTCCAAGAACACCTGCGAGCCGAAGGCTTCGTAGGGGCCAACCACTAAGATGAATTAATTCAAGTGACTACGTTACGAGTATGTTTAGTTATATTCATATTGAACGCCATTTATCGGCCTTTGCAGTATTTTTATGGCTGAAACAGACTCTTTCCGCATTCAGGAAATCGCTTGTGAGAGACTATTCAAATACATTATAATTCTTCCCGCATCAATCGCATGCGGGAGGTGCGTGCGATTGTCGATTGATGCGAGCGTGCTTTCAAGTATTTGAATAGGCTCTCGCATGCGGTTTGCTGACTGCGGAAAGAGTCTGCTTCAGGCTTTAGGCTCTCTTTCTGCATGAATTGTCTTGCAAGGAGTGTCTTTATCTAAGATATAAGGACACGATTTCTAATATCAGCCTCTCTTTGCGCTTTGCAGCTATGCATGAATTGCTTGCAAGGAGTGTCTTTATCCAAAATATAAGGACACGATTTCTAATATATAGATATCAATTTTTCGATGGACGTTCTGCCTGGACGAGCATTTCGAGTAACCATTATGTATACATACCATGTTCGCTGTTTTAGCAGTTTCGCCATACGGGGTGTCGCTGTTATGGATGAGTCGCTGTTTTATTTTACCGTGTGACTATGTAGACTTTCTGTGTCTCCTTATGACACGTCAGCACCGCCACCGGGCGACGACAGAAGCCGTGTTTGTGTGATGGAATCATCACCGTCTTAGCATTGCCCCTTTCACATCTTTCCAGTGTCAAACAGACTAGTTGATCTCAGCCCAGATTTCAGTCATCTTTTCTCCTCGCTGCGATCCCTTCTCTTGATAAAGTCATTCAAACCCTCAAAGAAAAAGTAAACTCTTTAGAAAACAAATAAATGGTGGCACATGTCATGCGTCAATCACTTGTTTAAATCTGGGATCTTTCTGATCCTGTTTTTATTCCATATACCTACATCTCCCTCAACTGGTGCTTCAATTCAAAGTGCTGCTACCGTGACGTGGATATAAAGAATGAAGTTGATCGAAGAGGCTTTGTTATACCTATATTTTACATTATTGAACTGCGTATAGAGTTTAATCAATTTACACCGTATTCATGTGCGCTTCACTGCAAAAATGAAGAAATATATTTAAAAAAAAAAACTCGTCTAGACAAAGATATTACAGTTCAACAATATTCGACCATGTTTGCCATTCCGTGTGCTTCTTTTCTTGTACCAATTTGCAAGTACAAACAGCTAACAATGGCTCGCAGATTAGGCAAGAGGACCTCTCACATCTCGCGCATCGCGGACACCACAATTGGAGGCCCACCTTGTCCAGCCGCGTCGGAATCCCGCATCTCCGAACACAATACACCTGAACGCAATGCTACCAACACACAGCGTGCCCTGAGTGACGACCGAGTCGAATCCATCCGTCTCATGACGCAACCGCCGCCCGTCCGACTTTCGTAACGCGCGCCGGACGTCGTCGTCACAGCGCCACGCTCGTCGACATCGTCGCTGGCGACAGGCGCCGCCACGCGAACCAGACCGTGCGAAACGCGGTCACTGTTTAGTGTTTGCAATGCACTGCGATGGGTGGGGGATGGACGGGGCGAGTTGTGTGATTGGCAATGTGGAGTTGCTGGAGCAATGCATGCAACTTTGCACTTTGCACAGTGTCATGAGCTTGCTCTGTTAAGGCATGAGAGCACGCACCATGCTTTCTTGCGTGCGAATGAATGCAGTGATCTGAGGCGCTAAAGGTCTAGGAGATCGCTTCAGAGCAGCCTGAAACCGACCGGTAAAAACACGTTCGTCGGTCCCCATTATTGGCCGTCTGAGGTGAAATACGGCGTCTATGGGGCGGCGGCCCTGGTGCCGGCGCGGCGCCGTGGCCCGCCCCTAGGGTAAGGATCACAGGCACCGGACGCCTGATAAAGGGACCGGGGGAGGCTGATTGCCGGTCTGTGGAGGAACGAGACTTCGGTCTACTGTTCACTGGCATTACGCAGCCGCCAGCACAGAGTTGAAGGCATACCGAGCGGCAAAAAGCGCCGACGGTATGACCGGAGCTGTTAGAGCGGTGACGCGGAGGCACGCACACAAAACCAAAGGGTGACGACAGACAATCCAGAGGGTAGTATTGCAGTATTGGACATTTGATAAGGTGTGTTCATGTGCAGTTCCTCACCCGATTTTGATGTAGTTCCATATAAAGCCTCCCTACATCTACATCTGTAGACGTAGATGCAGAAAGACACAGACGTAGATTCCTACACCTGCCGCTTCATTCACACTCGTTTCAGTTACGACCCTCCAGAAAATCTTAGCAAACCTCCAGGCACTCCAAACTCCAGAGTCCAGGAACAATCCTCTCGTCTCCCTTTCAACGCGGAAGGAAGTGCCGCGGTGTGCAGGTGCCGAGGAGCGCCTCCGGCCGTGACAGACGGTCGGGGTTCCGAAGTCGGGGCGCGGAAGTCTGACGAAAGTCGACGCGTCTTGCGGCGGGCGCATTCTGACCTGGCGCCTGTCCTAATGAGGCACTTTCACACCATGGCTACCGACGCAGAGTTATGCAGTCGGCAATGGGGAGGCTGCGCCGACTGCTAGACATTCATGTGGGAAGAACAGGAAATAAAATCCAGAGATAGAGAGATAAAGATAATGAGAAAGTGTCGCTGATAAGAAAAATGTAGCTAATGCTGGGAAACGGTGACTAAGAAAAGGACCAGACACCGTCAAAAATAGAAAGAGAATGTGATCATACCAGAAAAGGGAAATTATGCCTGAGACAGGAGATGACCCCGGGATAAGGAAACATCTATCTAAAGCTCGATATCAGACGATTTCAGAGGCTGGGTGCCGTACCAATGCGAGGGAAAGTGATGAGATGGTAGAGATAGGAAGGGAGAAATGGAATGATGGAGAGGGGGAGGTAGGAATTAGATAGT